GTTTGAGTAAAGCCCTTCGCAACCAATCGCGCCTTATATGTGTGTACATTTCCATCCACATCGGTCTTATTCTTGAAGATCCATTTGCACCCAACAGTCTTACGTCCGGGCACATTATCAACCAAATTCCAAACTTGGTTGTAATACATGGATTGGATCTCGCTGTCCATTGCCTCATTCCATTTTGCAGACTCCGGGCCTGCCATGGCTTCCTTAAAGCTATTAGGTTCATCTAGATTTATTAGTGTACCATCACTAATATACGTGTCCCCTTCGGTAGTAATATGAAAACCATAAAACTGTGGTTGAACTCTAACTCTTTCGGAACATCTAAGAGGTAAGGACTGGTCAATAGGTTCAACCGAAGTTTCCTCCTCGGGTTGATCGCCATCAGTAGAGGTTCCTTCATCAATCGATTCTTGAATCTCTTCAAGCTCGATTTGCCTCCCACTATCTCCTTGGCTTATGAGTTCTCACTCTCAGAAAACCCTATCCTCGCAACGAAGACAACATTGTCACTCGGTCTATAGAAGAGATATCCAAAGGATTTCTGCGGGTAACCGATGAAAATACATCGCTCCCTACGAGGTTCGAGCTTGTCGTAAGTATCTCGTCTTACGAAAGCCTCGCAACCCCCAAACCTTGATATGTGCTAACGAGGGAGCTTTCCCTGTCCACATCTCGTGAGGTGTTTTGGCAACCTTCTTAGTAGGGACTCAGTTAAGGATGTGGGCGGCAGTCTCTAAGCCATACCCCCAGAATGAGATAGATAGTGAAGCACGAATCATCATAGAACGAACCATGTCTAACAAGGTTCGATTATGCCTTTCTGCCACACCATTCAACTGCGGTGTCCTAGGTGGCGTCAATTGCGAAACTATTCCGCATTCTTTGAGATAGTTGTGGAATTCAAGACTTAGGTACTCTTCTCCTTGATCGGATCGAAGCATCTTGATTTTCCTGCCCAATTGATTCTCCACTTCATTTTTGAATTCTTTGAACTTTTCAAACGTTTCTGACTTTTGCTTGATTAAGTAAATATACCCATATCTACTATAGTCATCGGTAAAAGTCACATAGAAGCGGTTCCCATCCTTTGTGGTTGATCTAAAGGGTCCACATACATCGGTATGTATGAGGTCCAATAAACCCTCACCCCTTTCACATGTGCTAGTGAAGGGTAACTTGGTCATCTTTCCAAGTAAACAAGATTCGCATGTGTCTTCTTCCATAAGGTTGAATGACTCCAACACTCCATCCTTTTGGAGTTGGGCTATGCGCTTCTTGTTGACATGTCCAAGACAACAATGCCACAAGGATGCTCTATCCATACTATTGGAAGAATCCATGTATAAACATCATTTCCTAGGTTATCTACAATCATAACAGTTTCATAAATTCCATTACATGACATTGCTTCAAAATATAAGACACCATTTAGATAAGCATAAATTGAACCATTCTCATTATTAAAAGAAAATCTAAATCCTTGTCTAAACAAACCATGAAACGAAATTATGTTTCTTGCCATTTCTGGAGAGTAGCAACAATTATTCAAATCTAAACATAATCCATTACTAAGCACTAGATAATACACTCCAATCTTGGTCACAAGCGACGATCTTCTGTTCCCCATGATTAGATTTATTCTTCCACGCTCCACATCCTTATTTCTTTTTAGTCCCTGCAATTCAGAACAAATGTGGCAACCACACTCAGTATCGAGGACAAGAAATAGCATGAGATGAATCATTAGATTTAATTATGTAAATACATGCGAAAGACGACTTGATCTTTCCTTCCTTGATGGCTTGCAGATATTCCGGGCAGCTTCTCTTCCAATGCCCTATTTTGTGGCTATGGTGGCACTCTGACTCCTTCGGGTTAGGGTTGGGTTTAGCAGGTTCAACCTTGGTCCCACTAGAAGAGGAACCATCTCGGGAATTTCCCTTGCGGTAGCTCTTAGACGGAGCCTTCCTCTTCTTGCCCCTTCCCTGCCCAATAGGCAAAACAGGAGCAGCGGGTGGATTGGGAGTTGGTGCAACAGACTTGTCCTTGAGGTTGCTCTCAGCAACCCTTAGGAGACCTTGGAGTTTACTTAGGGTGACCTCTTCCATGTTCATGTGGTAGGTCATCCTAAATTGGTTGTAACATGGAGGCAAGGAATGAAGTACCATGTCGATAGCCAAATCTTCCCCAAAGTCGACATTCAACTTGCAAAGACGATCGACATACCTTTGCATCTTTTGCAAGTGTACGGTTAGAGATTCTCCATGTCCCATTTTAGCAGAGATCATGTTAGTGAAGATCTCATAACGCTCCTGCCTCGCGTTTTGATGATATCTCTCCAATAAGTCTTGATGCATTTCGTACGGATACATGTCCTCGTAAGACTTTTGGAATTCGGAGTTCATAGTGGCTATCATGATGAAATGAACCTTCGTTGCATCACGCTCATGAGTTTCAAAAGCGGTGATTTCAGCCGGAGTAGCGATTTCTGGATTGATCTTCTCAAGCTTTTCATCGAGGACATACTCCTTGTCCTCGTAGTGAGCAATAGTGCGAATGAATCTTATCCATTCGCTAAAGTCCGTTCCATCGAAAGTCACCTTTTGGCAAAGGCTCATCAATGTGAATGAGCTAGCAGCAGCGTTGTTCGTGTTCGACATCTACAAATAGAAAGGACAAAGATTGATTAGAATTTGAATCCCTAATTATCACCCAATAAAAGAAATCAAGGCTAGGATCCAACAACACTATTTACATATTAGAAAAGGGATGCCGTAATCCAACATGCAAACAATGTGAAGGTAAGTGAATGACGATTCACTAATTCTCCACCATAAAAACATAACCTTAAGTTCTAAATGTATTGAGAATTCCTAGATTTCGATGAGATTCATTGAACTTTTCAATGGCATGTTTAAATCTTGATATGCCCATCTCGTTTGTGACTGGGATACCGAGGATCACAAAGTGGGTGTAAATAACCATGCAAATCTACACAGTGCCTTCATTGTAACAATCACCTATTCGATGTGCCGGTAAACCACACACGCTCCACCGAACTATGATAAACAATGAATCACCCTTTGCCACCTTTGCTTAGAACCAATTAGTGTGCCGGTAAACCACATACGCTCCACTAACTTCTTAGCAAGGGTGCAAAGTGTAATTTCATGGGATTGCATCAATTCACTTTTCCTAAAGTAACTAGGATTGGGAATTTGAAAAACATGTAGTTACTTTGTATTTAATATTATACTTTTAACGAGGAGATAGAGTTGCCCTATCCTACCCGTTCGGCTAACGACCCTCCATCGATCAAGCAAGCGGTGGGTGTGAGTGTACACCCATTAAGCGTCATTTTATAGGCAGCAACCTTATACCCACCTTATAGACCGGCTTCGTGAATGAGGCCTACTAACGGTAAGACTAGCATTTTATTATATATATATATATATATATATATATATATATATATATATATATATATATATATATATATATATATATATATATATATATTAAGCGTGTAATCATATAAAGTATAGGGTTGAATTTTAAACTTGTAAAATTCTAGGGTTTGAAATTTAAATTGTCCAAATTAAACTTTTAATCACAAAACTAAATTTCAAAACTTGAGGATTAGTTTTAATTTTTCAAAACAGAAGGGATCAAATAACAAATAATTTAAATTAACCATTTAATCTCACAATTATCCATATTTGATGTTTCTTGCAAAACAATTTACCAATTTAATTAAAATAATTAATCAATTATCACATAAGGAAATTATTATTCAATTAATTTGTGATTATCTTGAATTAGGTCAAGGATATACTAAAATATATGTTAAAATCACATTTATATTGACCCATCAAGATAAAGGCAAGTTTCCATAAGATAAACAGCAAGAAATCCCGAAATTAGCTCCTTCTGACGCTCGAACTCGCCGAGTACCATAATGGACTCGCCGAGTCCACTATGGAACTCACCGAGTTCATCAGGCAGATGGACAAAAATCGAATTGTGCAATCAACAATCAAGCAACCAATGCATCAATTCAATAGAAACCAATCAAGGCTCTGATACCACTGATGGGTTTTAGCCATAAGAACATTCCTATGTGCACACACAAACCCTAATGCTTGGATCTAGGTTTCTCTAATTGAACATGCAATTATCCAAGTCTTTGATTGATAGATCTATTAAAAACATTCATATAATAACACATGAAATCAGATCTGAAAGATTACCTTGAATTGCTTGCTTGAATCTTCTTGTCCTTGGATCTTAGAGTCACAAATGTCATTCCTCTAATGGCTTAGAAACACTAACTTAGCAAGAGGATGATTATAGAGAGAGGGGGGAGGGCAAGAAATCGGCCAGGGTTTCTTCAAAGGCAAGAGTCTCGATTTCCTTGACCCCATGGGTCTATTTATACTAGTGAGCCTCCTAGGGTTTCACCCTTAAACCCTAATTGGATAACTTAGGCCCTAAGCAATCCAATATTCCTAATGATAAGCCTTGGACGATTTCTAGGTCCTTCCAAACCCCAAAACCATCCACCCCTTATCCATAAGGGATTATAGCCCAAAGTACAACTATCATACAATTGACAATTGCTGCCCCTTTATTCAATTAATCTCTTTAAGTCACCAAATTAATTCCTAATTAATTTATGACTTATATTAATCAAATAACAATATTATTATTCCTTATATTATCCTCATAATATATTAATAATATTTCTTCTCTCATGATAAATCATCATGTCAAGTTGCTATGGTGAAGGCAACCCAAAAGGACCATGCTCAATCGGGTCAAGTATTTACCAAATATAGTTGTAGCCTTAGACACTATTCCAACAATATTTCTATTCAATTTCATTATAATTGTTTTAGATAAGACTGGGGGACACACTTAAATTAGGTCAACTTTCGATTACTACATAATTTTTTTTTGCATGTGGGATTTGACTCTTTTTTTTTGCTCGAATGGATTATCAAGATAGGTCTAAGAGGAAAAGTGACAACACTCTTGAGGTTGTATGGCAGGTTTTAAGTCCCTTGGTTCATCTTCATAGGTGTGCACACAAAACATAACATATTTAAGTAATTTATTGCGTGCTGTTGAAAAATATATCTCAATGGCAACTTGTAGTTATTTACTGGTATATTTCCCAGACATTATGATCCCCCAAGTAAAAACATAAAACACTGTTACTATGTTGTGTGATATTTGATTTGTATATATTGTAGGGTTATTTTGTTTTTCTTACTAACTAGTAATACTAATTCTATAATATAATAGGATGATGTTCTTCTGTTTGACTATAATGTTCAAGAGCGGGTAAATGATTTTGTGGCTGCAGCCATGGCTCCGGTATAAGGTGTAACATGAAACTTTGTATGTAGGTATATATAAAATAATAAGGAGCTACGTCTTTTCTAAATCCTAATTATATTTCAGGCTGATGTAACAAGGACAAACCATATAATGTGGGCCATGGGAACCGATTTTCGGTATCACTATGCAGTTTCATGGTTTAGATAGATGGACAAATTCATTCATTATGTTAACCTGGTATTTGTCTTTAATTTCATATGTTATTTTCTCTTAGATTAAAATTATTAATTAATTATTTTATTGGTATTGTTAAGGATGGGCGTGTGAATTATGAACATTATGTTGTTATGAGTTGTGTGATAGGTTGGATCAAAATCAGAGGCAAATGGTATAGCAAAGGCAAGAACAAAGATGATTAACCCACTAAACTTGGTGTATTTAGAAAGTAAACTTATACCCTGTTTTAAAAAATAATGAATTTAAATCTCATACAGATGATTTGCTTTGTATGTTACATGTTTAATTTTTTATCAACATTTTGATAGTTGAAACTTAAGATGGGTGAAATGTGGGATTGGTTTTCTTTGGTGCATCCAATCCCGCAAAGCAGGGTTCTTCCCTAGTTTATCATAAAATGAAAACGAAGACGATTATAATACCAAAGCATTTATAATACCATAGATGAATACTAGTAATAAAATAAATTAAAAGGAAGGCAAGTTTTAAAATATATCAAATATCAAGACAATGAATATATCTATACTAAATATCATACTAAATACCATGACATATTCGAGAGAACAACCATGACAACATTCAAGACGAATATTCTTTGGGAAACGGTAAATATATTATATATAAAAGGCCACACGATTAGCAAGTGACCAAAACGCAGGCAAAGTACAGTAATAATAAGGATAAAAATGAATATAATACAGAGATTTAACAAAAGGGAGACATACTCCGGTTAAACCATTTACAGCACACCTTCGAGGTTCTATATTTGAACCAAGCGTATGACTAAGTAATAACCTCTTTAACAGTTTTTGCAGAATTTGTATTTAACGTCTTGAAAGTTTTATTGTTTCATGTTTTCCAAATAAACCATAAAAGGCCATAGAACACCACAATAACTCTTTTCCTTTTTCTTAAACAGTTCTCCTAAGTAGCTGCGAAATTGAGAAATTCATTCACACTATCAAAGTGCATGGCTTGTATTTCACACTAGAATCCAAGATCGAGATTAAAGACAAGATAAAGGATTGTGCTATAAGTATCCTCTTAATCATTTTTACCCCCCTAAAATAAATCAAATCAAAATTTTGATATTTGATTTGACATTATTATTATTATTATTTTGTCTTTTGTTGTTTTTTTTGTTTTCTAGTTTTGTTTTTTTAATTCCTTTTTAATTATTATTATTATTATTATTATTATTATAAATTTCGCACAAAATTTAAACATCCGAACGATAATATAAATTCGAACGGCTATATAAATCAGTTTTTGAATATTTTTTTATATTTTAATAATAATATTATTAAAATATAATAATAATAATAATAATAATAAATGAATAAATAAATAATAAATTAAAAAGAATTAATAACAAAAAAAACTAAATATGAAAAAAAAAAAAAAAAAAAAAAAAAAAAGAAACTAAAAAGAAAAAAACAACAAAATACAAAAAATCATGGTGGAATTGAAAAAGGAAAGGGTACTTTTAGAAAACCCTTATCGGAATTAAGTCACATAATTTCTCCTTTTTTATACTTTATAATAATCAATTTAAAATAATTATTTATTTGGTTAGAATAAAGAAATTATCAAAGGATATATTTTCAGTGACTTTAACAACAAAAAGTTGGGTTATGGGGTACGGCCCACGACAAGTTCAAAAAGGTTGAGGGCCGGTTCGAAGCCCAATTATTAACATTTGTCTTTTTTTACAATACAAACTAACTTAATATAAAGATTTCAAAAAACCCTAAACGTAATATACGGACCCCACTTCCTTCCTTTTCTTCCCGCCAAAGTCATAAACCCTCCTCTTCCCGTCGGCGAGACACACCACCACCGAAGCACACACAACACCGTCGATCACAGTAGCATTCCTTCCGAAAAAAATTCATTGACTGGTAATTTAGTTTTTAAGATTTTGATTTCGTTCAAGTAAAATAGCTGCGTTGATGAATACGAGAAAATTGAAGTCACTGATATATCAATCTCAACTATCTGCTTTGCTGAAGAGGATTATTATATATTCAACTCAGATTTCCGTTAATATTTTCCACAGAAATCGACGATAGTTACTACGTTTTATGAATGATAATACTTTGATCACTAACATCGAAAAAACTAGAAGTTGAATACCTTTATCTGGTTTCATTGCCAATAGATAATCACTGATTCTGGTTTGGTGCAGATATGGAAGGCGAGAGACGAGTGCTGGTGATAGGCGGAACAGATTCCCCTCTTTCTTCAGCTTCTGTCTTTGAATTCTCCATAGCTTCTCATCCTCACCTCCTCAAGATTGATCCTTCTGCTCTTTCGAAGCTATCTTCGTCTCCACCTTCTGGTCATAAATTTCAGCTATCTCTTCCCGATTTTCTTACCGCTGAGGAAGCCAGAGCTTCCATTCTTGTCTTCTTGTCCAAGCACTTACGTGGTGGATCCGGATCGGGATCCGGTTGTTTCTCCTCATCTTCTGCTTCTCAGATTGCCGATATCCTGAATAATAATACTCAAACCCTAACTCTCGACCTTGATGATGACATTCATATTTCAAAAGCTTGCTTGACAGATATTACTTCTATTGGCATCTCCACTCTCCTGGACTACACCGCTTCCTCATTAACCAAAGTTGCTGATGCTGTTGCTGCCTTGTCTTGTGAGGCCTTGAAGGCTGACACTTGCAGTGTTTTTAATCTGTTCATGGATTCTGGTGATGTACTGTATGACAAAGATAGAGCTGCTGTCGCTAGTGATTTAAAGGTTTTGCTAAATGGATCCAAATTACACAGTGATCTTCAATTTGACCAAGTTAATAAGATTCCCATAATCCATGGGCATTTGAGGTCTCTCTGCAAATCAATCAACACCTCTACTCGGATTGAACTAAATTCTATCCCATTACTAACTGGAGGTGTCAGCGAGTATTTGGTCACACTCTTCTCCCCTCTAGCTTTTGCTCTTCAAGATCTTGGTGAGAGTAGTTTTATCCGACAGAGGCTTTGATGAAAAACAATTCATTCCCTTGTTTGGTTGATATTTTCAACGATAATTGCCCTGATCTTGAAAAGTTGAGAGACTCCATTATGCATTTTGTTGTCCTCAAGATGGATAAAAGATACACCGAATCCTTGCATGAAATCTATGTTTTGTCTCAGTTTGTGAGTAAGATCCTTTGTTGGGAAGCAGCAGTTTCTTTTATATCATTGGAAGGGAATGAGCTTATAAAAGCACAAAAGGATATTGATGGAGGAAATTCGAAATCTGGTAAAAAGGACAAGAGAAAGATGATTATGGGAAAAGGGACAAGTGTTTTGATCCAGTTTATAAAGGATAGATTACTGTATGACATCACTAACAAAATAACTGGTAGTGATGATTCAGATCTGATAAAGAAAGTAGCATACAGTTTCCTCTCTTTATTGAACTTAAAAGACCCTGACTTTGAGCATCTACTACAGAAAGTTAAAGAAATTGTCGACAGCAATGAGAAAAGACGACTTCCCAAGACCCCAAAGGTAATAAGAATCAAGTTATATACAATACATATTACATAGAAACATCTCTCATTTAAATATTTGTTTTTTTACATATCTTTTAAACTTTTTAGGGAACTCGTGATTTTGCAAACGAACACATGGCTGCAAGAGAGAAAACATCCACAACCATTGTCAATGTGTTCAAGAGGCATGGTGCTATGGGTCTTGAGACTCCTTCATTTGAATTAAGAGAAACTCTAACAGAAAAATATGGGGAAGATTCAAAGTTGATGTATCATCTAGATGATCAGGTGACATATCAAATATCATTTATTAGTTAGTGATTATGAATTTATAATAATTTTTTTTTTGTGTGTGTTTGATTTGTTAGGGTGGAGAGCTTTTAACTCTTCGGTATGACCTAACAGTTCCATTTGCTAGATATGTTGCTATGAATGGTCTCACAAAATACAAAGCATATCAAATTGGAAGAGTGGATAGAAGGGATAATCCATCTAAAGTAAGACTCCGTGAATTCTATCAAGGTGATTTTAACATTTCGGGTGATGAATCAATAGAAGCTGATTTTGAAGTTGTTAAAGTCTTGATTGAAGTGTTAAATGAGATCGATATTGGTGATTACATGGTAAGTTTTCTGTAGCGATTATCCATATCCTACATTTTATTGTTGTAACTTTTTTTTTGTTGCAGATAAAGATGAATCATCGAAAGTTATTAGATGGAATGTTGGAAATATGTGGTGTGCCTAATCACAAATTGCGAACCATTTGTTCAAGTATTGACAAATTAGACAAACAATCATTTGAAGAAATTAAAAACGAAATGGTACGCAAAATTAATTTACTCCCCATTTTATATGGGTCAAGGACCATTTAATTCGGACTAATTTTGCCATTTTGGAAAACTACAGGGACCAAATATGTAACTTTCTTTTATTTTTTTGTTGTTTGTTAGATTGAAGAGAAGGGGTTAGATGCCGAGACAGTTGAGAAAATTGGTGCATATGTGGTGCTAAAAGGAGACCCTTTGAAATTACTCTCACAACTCAAAAACGAAGGAAGCGAGTTTCTGAAAAATGATTCAGCAAATGAAGCATTGAAGGATTTGGAGAAGCTGTTTGAATATCTGAAGAAGAGAAAATGCATTGAGAAAGTGGTGTTTGATTTGAGTTTAGCGAGAGGGCTTGATTATTACACAGGAGTTATATTTGAAGCTGTTTTGAAAGAGGGGCCCACAGAAGCTTGTTCGATTGCTGGTGGTGGACGTTTTGACAATCTGATTGGGATGTTTGGTACAAAACACGTGGCAGCAGTTGGTTTTGGTGTTGGAATAGATCGCATCCTCACTATAATGGAGCAACTCCCGAAACATGACAACCAGGTAAAAAAAAAACAAACTTAAAAAGAAGTTACATTTTATGTCCTTGAGGATTTCATATGTTTTCAATTTTGGTCCCAAAAGTATAGTTGTTTTCCTTGTAATGTTGTGTTGTGTAGGAAATCCGGGGGGTTGAAACGGAAATATTGGTGAGCGTATTGGGGGATGACAAGTCATTGGCAATTGAGTTAGTGGACATGTGTTGGGCTGCGAAACTGAAAGCAGACTATATTGTGAGTAAGAGGCTGAGTAAACATTTTGATATTGCTAAACAGTTTCGGATCCCGTGGATGGTGATTGTAGGTCAGCATGAAATCGATAAAGGAATTGTTACTATCGCAAATAAGCAGGCGAACGTATCAAAACAAGTTGTTATGTGCGATTTTGTGGAAGAACTTATCACACTCATCAACACTACCACCTTGTTATAGGTTATTTTAAGATTTGAAAAAAAAAAACAATTACCCTATTATATCATGTCTTAGTATTTTCCACTTATTGGACGTGTTTTCTGATTGAAATTTTCAAATTTTATTGGTATATATCTAGTAAACAATATTATTGGTTGACAATTGATATAACTGTTATTACTGTTTTTTTTTATAAGTTTAATGAAATATATTACATATTTATCATATAATATTGAATCATTATTCATTATCATTAAGTCTTTTTTGTCATTTTACAACTCTCACAATTTATTTTGCAATTCGTAGCTAAATTACCGGTTAATTTCATCAAAGCTAGTCTTTCATACGTAGTCTTAATAATATAAGATATTGACAAATTAGCCAACTTCCAACGAAAAAGAAGATTAAAAAGCTGAAGACCGATAGATTAGGCTAGAGGGAGTGATATCAATTGTTACTTACTTTTATGTTATGTAGACACCACATCATATTTGTCATACTATATAAAAATGTTGCCAATTTAGAAGGGATTGTTTACCACACTTTGTATTTATAGAGTGGAAATTTTAAAAAATAAAAATAAAAAAGTAGCCAAACATAGGTGATCAAAGACTCGGCGGAGATGTGTTGAGTTGTGTTGCCGAGCACTCATTGCCGAGGTTGAGGCACGGTGTGTGTGTCAAGTCTACATAGGATGTGTCGAGCTCCTCGCCACACGACTCCCTGTAGCCTTAGTGGACAAAAAAAGTTGTTTTTCATTTCTTGGTTTTATGATTTTGTATGGCTTTTTTATCAATTTGTATTCAAAATCAATCACAATACAAATATATATTTTATTGGAGAAATTAATTCTTAGAGGTGGCAAAAATTGACACGACACGAAACCCGACACGAACCCGACACGAAATAAATGGGTTTGGGTAAGATATTTCAACCCGTTTAAATAAATGGGTTGACACGACACGACACGAAAATTAAACGGGTAAGGTTAGGGTTGAGAATTTCAACTCGAATATGACTCGAAAATGACCCGTTTATTTATATGCAAGTTTTTTGAATTATTTAAATAAACTAGAAAGATACAAAACCAAAACCATAAGTAAAAGAAAACCTTCGAATTGAGTCGTTTTGTAATGTTGAAATGACTTAGCCGTCTAGATCAAGACTTAATTTCAGTTTTTCCATTCTCTCTCCAAACTACCCAGTCTCTTTCACCACTCTCACATCCTTGCGACCTTTTCATCCGCCTCCCCAACTCCCACTCTTTTAATTTTGTCATCTAAACATGCTATGACTTCATCTATTCTACCTCCAAACTATTAGTTTTTCCTTTCCGCCTACCCAACTCCTACTCTTTTAACATGCTCAATCTTTTAACCTCACATGACACGATATATTTCAAAGTATAGCCCTAACCCGAAACCCGACACGAACTTGACACGAAAATAAACGGGTTGACACGACACGACACGTTAATTAAATGGGTCGGGTTAGGGTCAAGCACTTTCAACCTGTTTAGTGTTTCGACACGACACGACACGATTGCCACCTCTATTAATTCTGCAAAAATATACATAAGAAGCCCGATTATCCAAAACATCGCAATTCGGTTGCAAAGGATATTTCTTTTCCCATCTAAAACTGGATAAAAACCGATCCAAATGGATCGAAGCGAATATTGTTCATTGTTCAGAACCTGAACCGATCGAATAAAATCCAATCTTTGTGCAACTTTACCAGCAAGGGAACAAGATAACAATGAGGACCGGCCTTTTACGGACTAACACCCACCAAAAAAATCAGTTTGTACTAATAAAGGCACAATATAAATATAATAGGGAAAATGTCAATCTAGTCATACAAATTTTCCCGTTTGTTTTAAATAGTCACTTTTTTGTACTCTAGAGTAATGTACTCAATAGTTGTGAGTTTAAAATATCGTTATTGAGGAAATCAACGGGTAAGTTGTGACTTTTGTCCGGTCACCAAAAGCTACTCCCAAGTAGCAAAGTTGGTGCAATGTCAATAAATGAGATTGTCGTGTAATCTATTAAATTCAAATCTATTTAAATTAGAAATACCTCCTTTCTTTTGGTTCCTTTCAAACGAAAACTTTTGTCTTCTATACATTCTTCATGACAGCAACATATATCAAGACCGATCTTCATTTTCAATGAGTGTTCAACAACAAACCATTTTGCTACTTTGATAGTACAAATCATGTTTTCGAGAATGTCAATTCTGCATGTATGGACCTTAAAGAATGGGTTGCTTTTCTTGAAAGATTTACACAAAAGAAGTGTTTGAAGATGTATTATTGTATGCCAGATGCAATATCACAATATCATTGAAGGTTTAAGATTAATTTCTAATGAACTTAAATATGTTGAGTTCGTTAACACTATTTATCAGTGTGAAGTCCAAGTGTCGATGTACATGGACCATTTTGTTACTAATCTACATGTATTGTCTAATGAATCTGTTTGTTACAAGGAATACCATTCAGATGTATCGGATATGTCAGGAGAAATGGAGGATGATCTTGACCTATCCAACTTTATCCCTCCAATGAACAAGAGAAACATGGAAGGAATTACATATGGAGGGGTAACGCGGAAAAATCAAAATGAGGCTGACACAAGTGTTGATTCATTTAATAATTTTGTGGATGATGATTTAGATGTTAATATCCCAAATGTTGATGTTAAAACAAGGTCCAATGAAGGTGTACCATGGAAGAAGCGATTTCATGCACTAGGTATGAGATTTACTAATCCTAAACAACTGAAGCACATGCTTTGCAATTATGATATTGTCAATGGGTATCAATTGTGTTATAAAAAATGGTAGTAAAAGACTCTTGGTTAAGTGTTGTGGTGGTGATTATACCTTTAGACTCTAGGCATCATGGATAAGTGAAGAGCAATCATTCCAAACCAAATCTCTTATTATTGATCATAAATGTGCTAGAAATTTCAAACATTGTTCAATTGTTAAGTATAAATGGATTGGTAGTCATTTCACTAAATAAGTTCTTGAGAAAGATAAATCCAATGTTAGATACTAAGATAAGATGTGAAAAATAAATTTGGAATATAAGTGAGTATGGTTAAGTATAGGAGAGTCAAGCAACATACAGTGTCCCTTATTGAAGGTACCCTGGTAGAACATTATGCAAGTCTATGGTCTTATGATGAGGAGATCAGAAGGTCTAATCAGGCTTAACTCTAAAGTTGTCTATCAACTTTATGCCATAAACGCAGCCACCCTAAAAATCAAAACCACCCACAAGCTTATCTTGAACTTCTTCACAAAAGATAGCTTCTCTCTAACTGCCATGAACTCTTGATTTATCTACTTCCTCATATTTTCGACTTCATTTGTGTCTCCATTGCAAACAGTTCATAGTCGGTTGTAATATCTAGGTCCAACTCGTGGAAACCACTGTATGTAATGATGCTATTGTGGATTGTATTCAAGAATAAAAGACGAAAGAAGAACTTGACTAGGGTTTGATTGTTGTATAAAGGGGACCACGTGACACGGAAGCTAACTTGAGGAAGTGTGCTACAATGTATCTTATGTGGACCTCCACTTCAGCAACGAGTATCCTACATTGGCGTCCACATCATCAAAAAATTTCATATGTGGCCTTGTTATCGATCATAAAAGGTTAAAGAGACTTTTTTAACCAGTAAAATACGACTGCATTTCCCTTAGAGTACAAAAAAAAAGTGACTTTATAAAACAAACAAGAAAATTTTGTAAGACTAAATTGACGTTTTTCTAATATAATATACAAAAGAACAACTGTATTTTCATTATTTTGTAGTTTAACCAATATATTTCATTTTTTTTCAATGGAAGCTTCCAAAGTTTGACAATTTTTAATGTTATAGCAGGCTAGCAGCTAGGGGCCACAATAGAAAATTTTGTTAGCGAAAATTTCTAACACTAAGGTTGTGGTGGTGGGGGCAGTGATTGGGTAATGCTGAAGGTAAGTGGATGATTGCAATAGTTGTGTGTCTGTGAGGGTGAGGCTTGGGAGTGAGTGGGTAAAGGGTGGTGTTGGCGGTGGCAATGATGGGCCTTAGGAGTGGGTGGGTGGTGGCGAGAGAGGTGGCATTAGGAGTGGGTGGGTGGGGGCGAGAGAGGTGGCATGAGAGTTGGTGGGCATGTATATTTTAGAAAAATTTAGACTTAAAAAAATATAGAAAACAATAATTATCGGTTTTTTAAAATTTTGTAAGTTCTTCATAATTTTAGATCACATAAAATTTTCATTTTTTGTGAAAATTTTAGAAAAAGCATAAGCGTTTCCTATTGTGACCCTTCTAACCTTCTTTAACCTAAGGACATAATATATCGGTCGACCCAACAAAACAGACAGAATATAGTGGCTTTTATATGTATTTTCCCTATGCAAAAGGCCCATTTACATGATAAAAATCATCAGTATTTCAATTTCCTAACCAAATATCAAAAAAGAAATCGAGCTGATTTCTTAGTGGACTTGGTTTCTATTACTATCTCATACTTACAAAACCTCATCATCTTGTTGATATATTGACTCATCTTCGATAGGCAACGACGGCGGTGTTCCTGGCGGAATAGCGGCGGCACCATTTTCTCCGGCGCACACACAAAGAGCCTCAGCTTCACGAAGAACACCATCCACCTCGATTTGACCCGACAATTCATTGATGTATTGTAGAAGCGTGTCAAATCCCATTTTCTCCCCCATAATCTTGGCTCGATTCCGTTTCAAGATTGCAATACAGATGTAAAGATGAAGATGCTCACTTGGATAATGAGTCCATAATACCTCCCATAATCTCAATAACTTATCGTATTCAAACTCCCTGAAATTCATTCGATAAATAATTTTTTCATCATTGTAAATTTATATAACTCGACGTTCTAGTTTATTTATTGTTGTAAGGAAAAAGTTTGACTTGCCTTTTGAATTGTATAAGAATCCATCGGAAACAAAAGAAACAATTCAAGCAATCTTTCTGCTTGAAATAACTGTGCAACGGGCTGTCTAACAATTCCACAAGCTGCAATATCCAAGAATTTTAAAAATGTCAGAAATCAAACATAACTGCAAGAAATAGCAATGTACTTCCATTTCTTTACTTATTATAACATTCTACTTATAGCAATGAAAATTGTTTTGTATTATTGATATCATTGCTATAAGGAATTTTTAATGAAAAGATGATGCTATAATAATCAGTTAGATTTTTCAATGTACAACGCTTAAGAAAACACACACACATATAAGGGAAGGGAAAGAGAACCTTTGAGACTGCAAAGAGCTGGGAGTGCATGCCATTCTGGTCACGGTTGAAATTTGGTCCAAGGCGTTCCATAAGAGAAACAAAACACCAAAATGATTCGGATTCATCTTCCATGATGAACAATATTGGTGATAGGAGATCACTCATGCCCTAAACAACATGTAGAATCTATTGCTTTTATTCTTATTTATTAAATAAATTATATAATATAAAAAAATTACATATTTCATATTTTTATCTATCGAGTTGTTCTTTCTGCATCAAATCAAAAAGGATTGAAAGAACCGTCTAAATGACGATTTTAGGGCCCTTGTGTCTAAAAGTCATGTCCACATTAAGTCAAAAAGGAAACAGTAGTACCTAACTGTAACTGACCATGATCATTTCTTACCTGACAATAACCAAGGTCAAAATTGTAAAATGAGTAGGTCACCAGTATGTTGTGCAAAAGATCCACATTAGGGTTTTCATCTCCTTCATAAAACGGATGCGATCTGTCCGTCCTTACCTTGTAAAAAAAATGAAATTTATAATTTATATAATTGATCTTTTATCAAATATTATAAAATAAATATTAGGGTGATTATTCTGTAGTTATAGTGTTATACCACATCCTTTTCGATTAAACTCTTCCTGTCTCTAAATTTTGAAAATCTTTTAGCCTGCTCTGGAGAAATGCTCTGCACAATATAAGTTTTTGAAAAATAAATAAATTATATTTCTTAATTAATTGGGCCTAAAAAAATATAAAACTGAGCACAAACCTGCCATTGGTTTCTGATAATTTCATATTCTGACTTTTTCACAGCCATAAAATGTTGTCTTTCTGTATATGTAGAGTCATATGCAAAATATCCCAATAAGATTGGCCAAATCTGCATCATGTGTCATTAAAAAGTTACGTATTATTTCTTTCTACTATATTGTGCTTCTATTTTTTTTTTCTTATCAAGGCATTGTACTTCAAAAATCAAAATACATACCTGATCATAACTACTTCCAATTTTATTTTTATTTACTTATTAGGACACTGTAATTTGGAAAATATAAAAATAGGGTGGATTTTTCAAAGGATAATCCTGTGAAACAAATGAATAAAAGTATGTTGCTAATTTTTGCATACCTCTTTTCGTAAACTGTGCTCCACTCCACCATAGAATATTCTCTTTTTCAAGGCGTTTAGATCCTCAACTCGGCCTTCAGAATCCAAAAATGTAGCCCACTGCAGAAATATGTGGAATTGAGGAAGGAATGGAATGGTTCATTCCATAGGAATGTAAGAAACCTGTTTGTTCACTCGATGGAATGGAATGGATCAATCCTGAGGGAATGGGATGGAATGAAAAATTGCAATACACCTCATTTTATTAACTGTTATTGGCAAAAAAATGTTTAGAACTTTATATTACTTTATTTAACGAAAAAAAATATCATTTTATTGTAACTTATCTGGTGTTTCACGAGCTTTTATTATTAGATAAACGTTCATCAACAATAATCTATTCGATTCCTACATTTTTCATTCCATTCCATCTAAACAAACAGACTGAAATGTTACCTCTTCATGTCCCAAAGGAGGCTGCCTTGGTTTTCCCCACACCAGTGATGTTTTATCAAGCTGCCAACAGATTGAAAAAAAGCAAACTCAATATTTAATAGTGGTCAAAAATCAAAATTACTAGAATTACAGCTTTTCCATAGAATTAGAATCTATTGGATTGTTTTCCACAATTAGAATTTCATTTTTGACTCAGTTCCAATAAACAACACAAACGAATACCATGATTTAAGGAAAGTGATAGCATGTTTCAATATTATTCTACAATGCCCTTTAACAAAGAGGAAACAATAGGACCCAAATGAATACCATAATTTTACTTGTAATGATGATAATGAGCAATAGTTGACTACATTATATACCATGTATTTAGATCTTTATTGTAGAAACGGATGTTAATGTTACCTCAAAAGGGTCAGAGGGTATAGGAGCTTCAATGGAGGCTATTTCGTGAGGTCTTTCTTGGTTATTCTTCTTGTTTTCATTAGTTCCAATGTCATCAAAGAGGTTTTCACGAAATAATTGAGAGGTTGTTTCTCGTGCAAATCTTGTCACAAGGGAGAATTTTTCCAAAACCTGAATTGAAATATCACGTTTATGCCTACTACCACCATCTTCGAGTCTTTCTTGATTATCACTGAAGGGCGAATCGGTAAATGAAGATGAAGATAAAGCTCTTGGAAGCTCCATTGAAGATAAAATTCTCTGTTTGAGACATTAAATATAAGAAATCCAAGATATACCCTTACATAGATGAAAGTAGAAAAGACTGGCTTCAAACCAAAAATTTCACCTGAAGAGGATCTTGAAAGTTATTTACAAGAAACACGTTTGCATCTTCTGCAGACCTGTGGTGATAATTGACTTAATTAAAATCATATACTAGAAGGGTAATCATGTAAAAAAAATATTTGTTTCATTAAAAATTACAGGTGAGTTATATTGCATAAAATATAAATACAAATACCAACCTGGCAATAAAAACATGATGCTTAACTGTAGCAATAAACTCTCGTAGTCCTCCATTATAGAAGTAAAGGGGAGGAAACGCAAGGCCTGAACAAAGTTCCAATCATGGTAAACTTAACTACTATAATAATATTTACTAACATAGCATAATAATTTTATACATAATTAATATTAATAAAAAAATGGACCAAATATGGTGCAAAAGAATGCATGGGCATACCAGATGACAGAACAACAATAACATATTGCCAGCCAATAGCTGGAGTGTGCCTACGAATTGATCGGATATCAGCAAAAGACACTGCTCTTATGGTATACAAGTTTTTATCTACATAAAGAAACAATTTCATAAGATCATTAATTTGGTAATAGTGGATAAAAATGTAATGAGGTATGTGAATGTGATTAGATGTTCTAACCTCTCTCTGAGAGTCTAGCATTTGAGGTTTGCCCTGTATAAGGTATCCATGACTGTTATGAAACAAAGAACTGAATCTTACAATCATAACAAAATACCCAACAAACATATATCATAAACAAATGAACATTAATTTTACAACAATAGAGCATTACCATAAATAATAAAGAATCTTGCTTAATCAACTTCAAACGCCCGCTAATCCTTACAGTGGCATACTGACTTGGATGAATTGTCACATGATCCTTCATGTATACTGTTTCTGCATTTTCTGGGTCAATGGGATTGTTTTGATTATTAGTATCATTCCCAGACATGATTGAGGAGCCCTGAGATATAAATCAATGTATAGTTAGTTAGTTAGTTACACATATATTACCTAAAACTGGATGTTCAAATTATCATTCAGAATAAAAACCAAAATCAATTTTGCATCTGTAGTTTTTCAATTAGGTCAATCATGTTCATAAAAATAAATGGATAACACTCTGTCTTATATAGCCAGATAACCAACTAGAAATCAAAGATCACCACATTCAGGTTGCACTACTGCAGGCATTACCAAACTTATGCGTTTAATTTGCTAAACTGATGAAAAAGTTCATGGTCGTATTATGTTTTGAAAAACTAAAAGGCAAGCATCAATAGCTTCAAGTTTTATTCGATTGTAAGCAACAAATACAAATGAATGCAAGTCGTCAGAAGCTACATAAATGTAAATAAGGCGCGATAGATTTCAAATTAGATCAACTCTACACCAAAAAGACCCCAAATGCAGAGGTTTTTTTGCTAAAAGTTGAGACACGAACGCGTGGAACAATCATCAAACCAGATTGAACGCTTATGAACTACTATTAAGAATAATGTTCTCGGGAGCCCTAAATTACACATGAACGAAAACTCAACTGCAAACAAACTCCGCCATTATAAGCTTCCAAATTAATTCAATGGAAAATTACAATTACAAGCCGGATTATTCAAACTTAACGATAAAAAAGGGAGTGCAACCAGAGATAAAGAAAAATTCCGGGTAAGTTGTGTATTGCTTACTTGTTGCGACGCGGCAGCGTAATCTGCGTCGTCCGCCAAATCATGAATCTCCGTTTCATCCATCGCCGCCGGTGGTATAGGGAAATACGGGGATTTGTCAGCTGATTTTTTTTTTGGATTTTGGGGATTGAGACAGAGAAAAAAAGGGGAGAATCGAGACCTGTTAACAATTTCAGGACGTTTGGATAGAGAGATTCCGCCTAACTTGCAAATAACGGCAACAATTCCCGAAATTTACAAAAATTGTCCGTGAACTTTCAGTTAAAGTTATCTTTAACCCCTAAACTTAAAGAATCTAATAATGAAGGATTTTTTTCGTTGGTGGGTCAAAGCTTTTTGTCGGAGGGAGGTGTTTTTCGGTAGTTAGAAGTATAGAGGTTGAATCCAATTTTTAGAGAGAGATAGAGATATGTTTGGCCCCTTTTATTGTTTTAATTATTAAATTATTAAAATAGATATTAAAAATAAAAAGGTATAATAGTTTTTTTAATTTTTGGAGGGATTATTTCTACGTACAAACTAGATTAAAGTGACCATGAAACCAAAAAAATCAAGATTAGATTAAACTTCAGAAAAAATATATGCTATAAGGATTATTTTTGCAGTTTTATCTTTTTGAAATAACTAGATATATATATATATATATATATATATATATATATATATATATATATATATATATATATACTATCTTATAAAAGAAATCTAACTATTTCTAAAAATAGATTGATTATAATAATAATATTTTTTTAAGACGTCCAAATGATGAAGCTGATAGTACAAGTAATCATTAATAAAATAATATTAAATTTTAACCATATTTTGAATTCAAATATTTATCATCAAATATCCTTATATTTCTCAACAATTTGATATGGTTTCCTCAAATCTCGGATTCATTCAAATTTTGAACCCTTTTAGATATCCTTAAATTTAGCATGTTGATTCAAATATCCCTCCAATCGCATATACCTCTTTGCTCCCCCCTCTACTATAAAGTCCACCGTCCAGGAACAAAAAATGACTTCATTTCCCAAATAACACCATAGTTTGATTATTTTGTCTTCGACGTGTACTTTCTTTTGTAACATAACATTTTTGTAGAGGAAACATATCACTAAAAGAATTTACACGCCCCGCCGCTTTGCGCGGGTGCACTGCTAGTATATATATATATATTAGCAACAGTTTTTTATATGAGGATTTTTTAATATATGCTTTGAAGATAAGTATAAAAACCATTAATTATGAGAAAAATATTATCATATTTAAATATAAAATGTATTAATTATATAGAATATTCTCCATAATTAACATATTTTATATTTTTCAATGAGAAATATTTCATAGAATTAATGTATTTCACATTTAATTATGATAATATTTATTATTTCTCATAATTAATGTTTTTTATGTGTGACTTATTGTGAAAACTAAAAAAACGTGTAAACTTGCGAACTAATAATCAACTCATTATTTTTCAAAACCAAAAAAACATCAATTTTCTCCAAGTTGTGCATCTAAGCCATATCTATATTAAAAAAAAATTGACAAATTTTTTATTTATTTTCAAATTTTGCATGTATGCACAATCAGCAATCATATAGATTGTTGATGAGAAATCAACAGTCCATATGGTTGTTGATTGTGTTCATCAGCAATTCATATGACTGTTGTTCATATGATTCCATATGACTGATAATTGTACTCATCAACAGTTCATATGACTTCTGATTGTGCTCATCAGCAGACATACAAAAAACCCAAAAAAAAAAAAAATCGTCAAAATTTTCTTTTAGCTTGGATATGACTTAGATACACCATTTGGAGAATATTGCCCTATTAGGTTAATTAGCTTGAACTATAAAATTAATGCTAGTTTTTAATTAATAGATTGATAGTGGTTATTGGTGATGTGGTAAGCACGAAACAGTTTACTTTTATCAAGGGTTGCCAAATCATTGATAATCCATTGATAGTGAGTGGAATAGTTGATTGGATGCGCAAAGTAAACTAATGTTTTCAAAGTTGACTTAAAAAAAGCTTATGTGTAACAACTCCAAAATCATGATAAAAAAAATTCTTTTTACAACATTACTTAAAACATAATTATCAAACCATAAATAAAATCAAAACATAAATCAGAGTGTTAATTCCAAAATATATTTTCATTATCAGAGTAAAACATCGCTGGATGACTAATTAATGGTGTATGTCTTGCGATCACCCTAAGCTCTTCCCTCCATTACCGGAAGTACCTGAAACCAAAACTGAAAACCGTAAGCACGAAGCTTAGTGAGTTCCCCCAACCTACCACATACCACACAAACTGCATACTACAAATATTGGGCATCGCCCGCTACAACAAGCCTCGTCTGGCTTCGAGCTCCGCTCGGTGTACAAATCTGTTTCTCTTAGGCCCCGCCTTTCTCTGGGCCCCGCCCGCTAACATATACTAACACATAAACATACCACAACACATAAACTAAACATATACTACTGAATACTGTACTAAGGCCTCGCCTATCTTGGGCCTTGCCCTTGTCCTACTACTAATGAGTCATGGAACCCCGTCCACACTCCTTCTGATAGTGAGATACGTGCACAACCCACACTCACTCCCTTCCTAACTTGGGCCTTGCCCCTGCTCTGCTGCTAATGAGATATGGAACACCATCCATACTCTACTATTGGTGAGATATGGGACCTCGCCTACGCTCACCTCCCTACTAGGCACATACATGTATCACACAGACAACAAGTATAAACTATCATATAAACCATTCATTGGGCACCCGCCCGCTATCATTGGACCTTGGTCCTGAATACTATACTAGCATATTGTGCCTAAGGATAACCCTCGGGTCTTCCTACTCATAACTACATGGGCTGGCATTGTGGCCGTATACCCATCCACACAAATAGAAACTCACCTTGCACTGTTGAAGCTCTGATTGATACTCTTTTAACTGCTATCTGACAACTCCCCAAACGTTACTCCAATAGCTCCTCGAGCTTCAATATCAATATAACATTTAGTAGCAAACTAACCTCCAGAAGTCCAACTAAGTAAACCCTAGTCAAAGTCAAAGTCCTGGTCAAATTCAACCTTCCAGGTTGAGCCTACTCGCCGAGTCAGCCTATTGACTCGCCGAGTTCATGGATTCAGAATCCCCCACAATCGCGACTTGACTCGCCGAGTCACCTCGCGACTCGTCGAGTCCTTCAACTTACGAGTCCTAGTCCTGGTTCTGACCAATCTACCGAGTCACCGCCTTAACTCACTGACTCGACTCGGATCCAGAAGAAGTTAGGGTTTCGACCCGAATCACTGAGTCCAAGAACGGACTCACCGAGTCCACCTTCATCATATTCATTCTGCCAATCTCAATCCATTCCATTGCTTCCCAATCGTAGATCTGGACTCCTAAGGCTAGCATCACACGTAAAGTTGCTAACTTTACGTGCATGCAAAGGGTTATGAAGCTAAAACACCAAATCCAAGCAAAAATAGTGGTCAATGACATAGAATGGAGCCATGTATGGAAAAAGCTAACAACTCTAAGCTTCAAGAACCCAAAAGTACTCAGATCTGAAGTCTTCTTCGTCCTCAAAGGCACAATATTCGGATTGGCCTTGGAAATGGCCTAAAAGTGACAAAATCTAACTAGGAAAGGGGATCTAAATGAGTAACAGCCAAGGTATGAGCTTCATACCTTCAAAAGATTTGAAATATCACACCAACTCTGGATCTACTTCCCCTTCTTGAATCACCAAAGGTTCCTTTCTTCCTTCTAGCTTCAAATCACCCAAAAATGGCAAAGAAGCTTAAGAGCACTTCAATGGAGGCTTAGGGTTTCGAGAGTAAATAAAGGGAGTGATGAGGGTTGGGGTGGAGGCCTGAAATGATGCTTAAATAGGGTACTAAGTCCGAAAATTAGGGTTTCCCAACCCAGACCTAACTCGCCGAGTCAGTCCCTCTGACTCGCCGAGTCGGTCACTTAAATCTCGACGCGGAACCTGCCCCGACTCATCGAGTTCACCCTTAGACTCGACGAGTTGACCCCTTTGACTTAGGGTTTTCCTTTCCTTTATTGGTCTTCCGGATTCCGAGTGTTACAACTCTCCCCTGCTTAAACTAGACTTCGTCCTCGAAGTCTGCTACGACCAGCTGCCATGCAATCTGTTCTCGACACTCCAGTCCGAAGAACACATCTCCTATCGACCATATCCATTGGTCTTCCGCCTGTTTCTTCCACAAAATAATCCCTAAAGACAAGAACCCCGATAACACTCTAATTACCATCAATCTTGAAAACACGACTCTTACCCAACTGATCAACTAACTGCCTCACACAAAAAAAAATCTCTAATCAATACTACCCCCGACTGAAAATCATGCTGTCTCTTATCCGACTTCTGGGCGAACCGAGACCACCCTGGTCCCAGCTAAACTGCCAGTAACTGGGTTATTGGACTCTTACTGGTTACTGAAACCTCAGCTCAATTGCTCAGTCACTCTCAGCGACCCCCATAGAAAACTTCAGCTATCTAAACTGCTCTATCTACTCTGCAACCCTGGCTCTACTAGACTTGGGATCCTCAATCCCCTATCTTGACCACAAGGTCTCTACCAGGTCCTACCTATACTGCCACTCACATACGGGCCTCGCCCACGGGTCTTACCCGACTACATCTTAGAGTGGTTTCCCTCTCTAGTCTCACCTGCCTAGCTACTGGTGATCGGGCTCACCCACGCATCCCACCCAAACCATACTACTGAGCGACCTTATCCCCAGGTCTCACCTATCTAAGGCTACACAGGTCCAAAACCTTCTTGAAACTCCATGACTACTCCCTATCTATCTCTTGTCATGCTAACTAGGATACACGGGCCTCGCCCAACTGTACTATCTAGGAGATACGGCCACTTGCCCACATTCCTCTGACTTAGGAGGAGGTACGGGCCCTCTCCCACACTCCTCTAACTGGCCTCTACTGAAATGCGGCTCTCCTACAGTTCTATTACACTGTCCATACTGTCCCTGCTACTGACTACTAATCCGAAAACATCCCATGTCGATCGTTCATACTCTCTGTGCCTTGACTCACTTGAGTCCTGCTATCAATCCTTCAACCCGGTGTCCCAAACCAGCCATCAACTAACGAATGATACTGTCATCCTGCGATCTTACCACACTTCCCATACTTTCTCTCTCTAC